TGAGGTTCTTTGGAGATCAGGGAGCTTGCTGAGGTTCAAGAAAAAGGCAGACAGCCTCCACTGGAAACAGGAAACCCATGGGAGACAGAGGCCCTTCTGTATTCACAGGGAAGAGCTAGAGGAAGGCTAGAGCAAGGCTGGTGAGGAGAGGTTCCAGAAGGTTCATGAAAATGGAAGAAAGCCACATCATAGCTGCTGACCAGAAAAAAACCCTGCTGCAGACTTATGTCTGTCTGTCTGTCTGTCTGTGTGTGTGTGTGTGTGTGTGTGTGTAGGGATGCTCCCCAGGATTAAATAAACAACTGAATGGGGTTTTAGAACAAGAAGACCCTGTTCTGCCAGTTGCTTATGTAATTACCCTCTCTAGGCTGCAGTCTTCTATTTTTATTGTAATTAGAATAATAACATCTGATAACATCTGTCTCTCAGGGTTGTCTGAGGACTAAAATGCTTAGACTACTATGTTTTAGGAGCTCTGGTGATATAGTGCCTAAGGCGTTTGAGTGCTAACCAGAACGCTGGCGGTTCAAACCCACCAGTCCCTCCCCGGAAGGAAAGTTGGGCAATCTACTTCCGCAGTGATACTGCCTTGGAAACCCAAGGAGGGGTCGCTATGAGTCAGATTCGACTCCAAGGCAGTGAGCACTATGTTTTAGAACACTGACTTCGTGTCAGTGTTTGCTAGTGTAGTGTGTGGCAAGAGGGCTGGGGCTGGAATCCTGACACCACCACTTATTCATTGTGTAATCTCATGCAAATCAATTCATTTCTCTGAGCCTTGATTTCCTCCTCTATAAAACAGGGATAAAATAGGTATACCTCACAGGGGTTTTGTAGAGATAAAATGGATAATGTATGGAAAACATTAAGCACAGTGCTTCCAAACCAAAAAACCAAACTCACTGCCATTGTATCAATTAAAGCACAGTGCTTGGAACTGGGTTAATATCTAACAAATGGTAATTTATTATTTCTGTTATTTTCTTGTTGTATTTCTCTCATAATCTCTAGTCTTGCTCTCTTGTATTGCTCTAATCCATTTCATTACTGTTCATTCCCCCAATGGCAGCAAAAGAGATCTTCTTTAAGAGTACCAAAACCAAAAACCAAACTCATTGTCATGGAGTTAGATCTGACTCATAGTGACTCCTCCTTGGGTTTCCGAGGCAGTATCACTATGGAAGTAGATTGCCCAGTCTTCCTACTGAGGAGTGGCTGGTGGGTTTGAGTCACCAGCCTTCTGGTTAGCAGTCAAATGCCTTAGGCACTAGGCCACCCAGAGGAGAGGTAGAGAGGATTAACCGCAAAGGGATACAAGGGAACTTTTTGGGATGAGGCAGCCAATTCTCAATAAAAATTTTAAATTTCAACTTAAAAAAGGGAAAATTTAAATGAGAACACATGGGCAAATCAGGCTTACTTGTGGATGCCACAGTTTATTAAATGATCTGCACACCTGGTTGGGGAGAGGGAGAGGGCTGAGTCTGTCAGAGATCCTCCATGACCACCTACTCTCTACTTCCGCCTTGGGCTTTGCAAAGCTCTGTTTGCCCCTGGGATGCAGGTGCTGCTGGACTTAAATTCAACCATGATCAGAGGGTCAGATTGACATCATTTGCTGCTGGTGGTAGCCCAAGAGTCTTTACCAGTTGTCTTCATCTCACCTTCTCTCTGGGAGAGTGGTGCTGCCCCCTTTCAGATAATCTGCACATTGGCAGATGTGCAAGGTGCCTTCAGTGATAGATGAAAGCATTTGTCTTCATATAGTTTTTCTAAGGAACTTAATAGGGCAGTGGACACGGACATTGTAGAGGCATTTCCTCTCCCCAATCTCTAAGTCAACTCTCACCACTATCCATGGTGGTGGTTGCCGATGTTGGGGGTGGCAGAAACGCTTATACTCCATTCCTCACTCTTCCATAAAACAAGTTGTTGTTGTTGAGTTGATTCTGACTCATGGTGACCCCATGTGTACTTCACAGGGTCTCCAATGGCTGATTTTTCAGATAGCTCCCCAGGTCTTTCTTCTGAGGTGAGTCTGGTTGAACGAGAATCTTTAACCTTTAGATTAGCAGTTAAACACATTAACTGCACAATCCAGGGACTGCTACTCTTCCATACAGGGAAGGTTATTTACACTCCATTCTGCAGGAAGTAGGAGGAGCAATGATCCATTTGGTGAGACAGGAACATCTGGCTCAGACTTTCATCTCTTCTGGTCTACCCTTCTGTTAACACTTTTCTCTCTACTCCTCCATGTGGCGAGTACCTGGGCAGGGCCCAGACTCAGGGCTTGCCTTCTAGGGACACCTTTACAGGCCCTTTTCTTTCTGTCCCCACTCTCAGAGCCTAATAGGCATGAAGTAGTGATTCTGAGCGTGTCTGCTTTGCAGATGGCCACTCCCTTGGGTAGGTCCAAAGCACATTTCCCAATCCAATGATTCCAGCACTAAACTGATGCTTTCATCTCCACCTGTCTGCCTCTTATTTATTTTCTTGGCACTCAGAAAGGGAAGAAGTTTGACTAATTATCACCAAAAAAAAGTGAGGCAAAGCTTTAGCCTGTGTCTTGAATCCATGCTGAGATAATTAACATAATGGAGTCAAATTTCAATTTGAAATAATGAGGTGAGAATGGGAGGGTAGAACACCCATCTCACTGAAGGATGTAGTTTCTTAAATGTCATTCACAGCTTTTCCAGTTCAGCCAGATATTGAAGATACACAAATTAAAGACATTTTAATAAAAAATAATTCACATTTGATCTTTATTAAATGACCATTTCTCAAGATCCAAAAATTCTTTTCAATACAACTTCAGGTGGTCCAGAAGTTTAAGGCTTATTTTCTAAAAATATAATTCCATGATTTCTTTGACAAATCAATTTCTGAAATTGAGTCTCCAATGGAGAATCCTAGTCTGGGAGCCTGAACACCTGAGTTCTGTCCCTGTCTTGGCCATTAAGCTGAGAGGCTTGGGTACCTCACCTCCCCCTCTGAGCATTAGTTCCTCTATGGAAATATCAGTGGCTCCCAAGTGCCCAACTGCATCAGAATCATCTAGGTACTTGTTACAACAGATTTCTGGGCGCCATCTGAGACCTACTGAATCAGATTTTCTGACATCGGGCCTAGGAATCTGTATTTTTAATTACCCAGGTTATTATGATGTAAAGCTAAATTTGGTAGGTATTGGATTAGATGACCTCTAGGGTCCCTCATGGGGACAGAGGAGATTCAGTGGTAGAATTCTCATCTTCCATGCAAGAGACCTGGGTTCAATTCCTGGCCAGCACACCTCACGCACAGCACCACTCTGTCAGTGGAGGCGTGTGTCTTGCTGTGATGATAAACAGTTTTCAGTGGAACTTCTAGACTAAGATAGACTAGGAAGGAAGACCTAGTGATCTATTTCTGAAGATCAGCCAATGAAAACCCTGTGAATCCAACAATCTGAACCTCAATCATGGGGGTGGTGCAGGAATAGGCACCATTTAATTGCATCATCATCACTTGACAGCAGCAACAACAAACAACAGGGTCCCTCACAGCAATGAATATCTGACTTCTTATTTGTATTCCTTCTATCACTGTTCTGATATTAGACATTGTGCTCAAAAAACAGTCAATAAAAAACCAAGACTATGATTTAATCATCTTTATATCCTCTAGCATCTACACAGTGCCTAGTATGTAGTAGGCACTCAATAAATATTTGAAGAATTTAAATAATTCTTAAATTTATTGATTAAATAAATGAATGTTATTTAATGTAAATCCCAGTCACCTATGAATAGAGAAATCTAAAGAGAGAGAACATAATTTAAACCTTTGCTTAATATAATTTGCCTTCCTTGTCGGCTCTATTACACTTCAAATGAATTGGTTATATGAATGAAGTTAATGCATATTTCAAGACCCAGTAAGAAGGTGGTTGAGAGTCTCCTGTGGACTAGCTAATCCCACAGTATTTCCCAGTGGGGGTGAAAACTGGGAGAGGCTTGTGATTTAGCAGCAGCTGGTTGTTCTCGCCTTGATTTTTCCAGTCCAGCAAATGCCCTATCCTTATTAGGTGACGTCCTTGGGGCCATACTCTAGGTCTCTGAATTTGCCAAGGCCACCCCAACTTTCTGCAGAGGCCTCAGCATGTAAGAAAAGGCACTTGTCTTCTGTTAAAAGTTACCTGTAAATCCCCCAGCAGTAGATGTTAACCCAGCAAAGTGTCTCATGCAGCCAAGACCTCTAGGATTTCTGATGTCACCTTATGTGAACCCAAAGTCCCTTCTCCCACCCCCTCCTCTACACTCCACTGACCAGCCTGGAGCCTTTCTGGCTCAGACACAATCTGCTGGCCTTGGAAGATACCGGCTCAGGATGAAATCTGTCACAGGGGTGGGCAATTTAGCCAAGGGGAGGTAGAGGAGTTTGGCATCCAGGCCAGGGTTGTAGCGGATGCGAGGGCTCCGGGATACAATGGCATGCTCCATGCTGTTAATGACATCAGTGATCCTTGGCTCAGCCAACTGCAGCATGTTTTGTAACTTTTCAGTATCTGTTTGAGGGCACAGGGGGGAAAAAAACCTCCATTATTCTTCATAAAAAATAGTTTTGTCTGAATTCCATTAGATCCCTGATCTCAAAGCTGCCCCACCCTACAGGTTGTTCCTTATGCTTTGTTGTTATTGTTATGTGCTGTCGAGTTGGACCCGACTCATAGCCATCCCTCCTTGGGTTTCCGAAGCAGTATCATTACGGAAGTAGTTTGCCCAACCTTCCTTCCGAGGAGTGGCTGATGGGTTTGAACCACCAGCTTCCCTTATGCACACACCCCTAATAATCATATCTTTTTCCCTGCATTCAACAATAGTTCATTAAATTCCTGCTATTGCAGTAGATGAGTGATGAGAAGACCTTTGCCCAGTTCTGCCACTTACTAGGTGTGTGACCTTGAGCTTAAAATGATCAGCATTGGTAAAATGGGTGGCATAGCGCCTAAGGCATTTGACTGCTAACTGGAAGCCTGGAGGTTCAAACCCACCAGGCTCTCCTCAGAAGGAAGATTGGGCAATCTACTTCCATAGTGATACTGCTTTGGAAACCCAAGGAGGGGTCGCTGAGTTGGGTCCAACTCGATGTCAGTGGGTTTGGTTTGGTTTGGCTGGAGAACAATGAAGATGATTAATAGCAAGATAGATGGTGAGGATGGACAGGAAAAAAACATGTGCTTATAAGCACGTAGAAAAATTGGAAGAAAAGAAATAAAAATGTTTGGATGCTGGGATTCATAATTGCTAGAGCCTCCCCCACGCCCCACATGCTTCCCAAGAGTTCCCAAACATTCTCCAAGAGCATGCTGGAGAAAGAATGTTATTAAAAAATAATAATACTGCCCCTGCCTTGGTCATAAAACCATTGTAAGATTCCATTGACCTAAGGCACAGACAGGCACCTTGTAGGCACTAGCAACTGTGTGTGGTTATTCTATTTGCATTACACCCGTGGGGGTGGAGATGAGTGCCAGGCACCTGAGTTGCCCTAGTTGGCCAAAGTTCACAGCATAAATAGGAGACAAGCCACACTGTGCATTGTAAAGGGGCAGATCTGTACTCTCACTCTGGGGCTTTGAGACAAAGACAGGTCAGTGCAGTGAAAGTCCTAAAGGTCCTGGATTAAATGGTGCCTGAGAGTCAGATTTCCAGGACATGGAATTAACATTTAAAAACAAAGGGGGAGCAAAACTGGCCCAACTTCAGAGGGTGGCCCAGGAAGGCAAGGAATGCACTCATACATTCAAGAACATCTGAAGACATCATTTGGGTCAGGACACTAGTGAGTGGTTGGGGAAAGGGACTACTTTTAAGTGAAGCATGGGATGATGTTGTTGAAGTACCTGTTGAACTTTGCTATTATTGCTGGGGTGAGATGATATCTCACTGTTGGTTTGATTTGCATCTCTCTAATGATTAATGATTGTTGAGCAATTTTTCATTTGTTTGTTGGCTGTCTGTATATCTTCTTTGGTGAAGTGTCTGTTCAAGTCTTTTGCCCATTTGTGAATTGGCTTATTTGTGTTTTGGTGTTGAGGTGTTGAAGTTTTCTATAGATTTTGGAGATAAATCTTTTATCAGATATGTCACAGGCAAATATTTTCTCCCAATCTGTAGGTTTTCTTTTTACCCTTTTGATGAAGTCTTTTGATGCGCATAAGAATTTAATTTTTAAAAGGTCCCAGTCATCTAGCTTCTCTTCTATCTCCTGTACGTTCTGGGTTATGCCTGATAGTCTATTTATGCTGTAAAAAAAATAGATCTGCCTCTATTTTATCTTTGATGAATTTTATAGTTTTAGATTTTATATGTAAGTCTTTGATCTAGCTTGAGATTATTTTTGTGTATGGGGTGAGGTATGGGTGTTGTTTCATTTTTCTGCAGGTGGATATCCAATTTTGCCAGCACCATTTGTTAAAGAGGCTGTCTCTTCCCCATTTAATGGGTTTTGGACCTTTGTCAAAGATAAGTTGTCCATAGATGGATGGGTCTATATCTAGACTTTCCATTCTGTTCCATTGGTCTATCTGTCTATCATTATACCAATACCATGCTGTTTTGACTACTGTGGCTGTATAGTGAGTAAGGGGAGATATATATGGGAAGAATCTGTGACCACCATGATAACATTAGGAAATGAGAGGACACCAAATTGTGCATATAAGAGATAGATGACAGATGCTAATACCAACCAACGTGTCCACAATACTGCATTACCATTAACACCAAACACTAGGCTACAGATAAACACATAAACACCTGAGAGGATCAGATGGGGGTCAGTGAACAGGGGTATACTCTAGACCAAGGATAGATTCAGCTGAGACTAATCTTGCACAGACACCAGTGATACAAAATACCTGCAATCATTACAGAAACAATAGAGGACAGACACAGAGTAAACCCTCACAGACACCCAGACACTATGGGAGAAAGATCCAATAGATCTACCATCTCAGGACCATAGTACTGGGGGACACCGGACTCAATTGGCACAACAGAATACATAAAAGCTTTGTTCTGCATCCTACATTGGTGAGTAGCAAATGAAGTCTTAAAAGCTTTCAAGTGGCCATTTAAGATGCAGCTAACAGTCTCCTAACATTGGAAGTGAAGAAGAACACACACACACACACACACACACAACCAAGGGCATTTGGAAGCAAACAGCCATTGGACACGATGGCCCTTGAGACCAGAAGAACTAGATGGTGCCTGGCTACCAATGCCAACCACTCAGGAAAGGATCAAATCTGGAGATCCTGGATAGAGTGGGAGGAAAAACGTGGAACAAAATCCAAAAACTCATTAATGACCAGATTACTGGTCAGATGGAGTCTGATGAGACCCCCAATACTATGGTACATTCTGCACCTGGAATAAAACTCACCCCCAGGGGCTGGTTCTCAGCCCAGTAGTTAACAAGACGTACACACAGACCACTCAACCCAGGATGATGCACCCACATACTCTATGGTAATACATCCATTAGAGCAATAGCCCAAGGGGCACCAGAGGACCAACATTCAAATTGAGGAAATGCA